AATAAAGACAGACCCTCTCCTCCCCCACCGCATCACATTCCAGCGGAGCTAATAAAGCACAGCAAACCAAAAATATTAAACTTCAAATACACGGCAGGACAGGTGTTATAACCTCAAATTATTGAGAAGTTTCCCAGCAGGCTTAACAGAGGTATGACAGGGTTTGTCTAATTTTCTTGCAGGATTTTTCCGGTGCTTTTGCTCGTTCCACTCGGGCTGCTATGATTCACACAGACTGAGTTTAACTACCGTGCCTGGCGATGGTTTTCGTTATGCCTTGAAACGTCTAGATGGTTCCACTTCACAAGCACACTCTGAATGTATTTTATCAGGATTTTATATGAAAGGCCGACACATAGTGGTGCGTTAGTAGAAGTAAAACAAACAAATAAAGATGTAGCCCTTTGCGCATCTTTATTTGTAAAAAAAAAAAAATGTTTGTTTTAGAAATATTCCCAACTTTGTGTTAGTCTATTCGATAAAATCTGAGTAAAAGACATTTAAGGCTGGTGCATATAAAGCTCAAGCGGTGTAAAATTGCATACAACACTGCATACAATTAGAAAGATTTGTTGTTTTTCACGGATTAATGCCAGAAGATGCGTTATTTTTCGTTGTGAGTTCATTGTGAGTAAAGTGAGTTTACGTCCAGGAACAACTGACCTACGACTCTGAGCCCTTTTGCTCTGATTGTTGTGTAGTTCCTGAGGCAAAGAAACCACATGTGGATTTCAAGGCTCATCTCTCATATTCATTTTTATCAGTCCTGGAAGCGTGTTAGAATTGTAGCTGAAAAATTATTTCATTGTTCTTCCTCACATTATTTTTCTGGTTTAAATTCGTAGCTGTAAAGCGTGTGGGCAGCTAAAGAGTCTGAGTCATCACGCTCGGCTGGTTTATATAGCGAACATCCCTGATGGCAATTAAAACTACTTCGAAGAACTTGAACACAGAGAAGAAATAACAAGGATGGCAAAATGTGTTAGGATGAGTAAGAGGGCCATGAAAGCTTCCAAAAAAAAAAAAAAAACTGCTGGGCTAATTATGAGCTGATCCCTTTGTGGGTAATGGGGAGCTTGTCTCCCACCATTGCTGCCACGGCTCATCTTTGGCCCTGTCACAGGCAGGTGGACACATCCCTGCCAGCCAAGAGGAGCAACCCCACAGATGGGAAAAGCTGCTCCTCTCAACGTTCCCCAGGATGGCCCCTGGCACTCGTCCTCCTCACTTTTATAATGCCCTTCATCTTCACAAAGTGCTTCACTGGGACAAAAAAGAGACTGTGTAAACCAGTGACCTCTAAAGGAAAAAAAAAACAAAAAAAACAACAACAACTATGGGCTTCAAGCCGTTCTCTCACAGCTCTGTCCATTTTAATGCCAGGAAGGGAAAGCCAAACAAAAAAGTCTCTTCAAATAGAGGCAGAAGAGGTATGTATTCAGATACAAGAGAAAAGGAGAAAACTCACAAAAGCTGAGAGTTTCCTTTGGAGTCTCTGCTTGTTGAAAAGCCATTCACACAAAGATATGCAAAAAAAAAAAAAGAAATAAAAAAAAAAAACATGCTGGTCTTTTGCTAAAACATCGCTTAAAAACATTACAGGAGTGAGAGATCCATAGAGGTGTGAGAGGAAGCCCTGTTTGTAATAATGGAGGCTTTAAATGAGCCTAATATGCTGCTGGGTATCCTCTATTCAGCCTGTCAGAGTCTCAATTCAGCTTTAACCTGCTGAAGCAGCATCTTCCTCTTTCCTTTCTGGGTGCCATGGGACGGAACGAGATTCTCACAGTGTGGTAACATTACATTAAAACGCCACTATATCACGCTAGTGACACAAAAACATAAAACAAAAGGCATGTACTAAATAAATCAGGTGACGCATCATACTCCAATGAATATATATAGTTTTTGTTAGATTTTGCTCTCAACTCCCAGAAGGTAATGGTGTGAAGTAGTTTGATGCAACAGGAGGGTGTGTGAGAGGAACAGACCTCATTCCGATAGCAGCCAAACTTTCCAATAGACTATAAAACAGAGAAGATAGCAACCAACTGTCTTTACATTTAAGAAACAGTGAGAAACAGCATTTCATCTGTCATTCCACTGTCTAGTCCTGCTTATTCTTACAGGTCATAGAGGTGTCCAGTGACCGATCGCTGGTCATTGGGTGAGAGGTGAGCCATACCCTTAACATGTCCTCAGCTGATCTGGGCAACCAATGGACCGGATGGACAATGACTTTTTAAACTATTTCCAATTGATATCAGGTCCAGGCCAAGGGGTAACAAAAAAAATAATAAAAAAAATCAAATATTAGTCCAGATGTTGTGAACAAGTCAAAAATGTAGAAGGATATGTGTTGTGTAACAGATTTATTAATCAACAGTCCCAACCTGTTTAAAGCATTAAAATAACCCACCCGTATCAACCATAAGCAGCTGAATACTCATGACCTCTCTCATTACATTAATAATAGATGTGCTGGTATGGAGACCAGGAACATATTTTTAAAGTTAACTGGAGTGCAGCAGCTCCCTGTGTAGACACACACACACACACACACACACACACACACACACACACACACACACACAAGCATGAGATGAGGATTATATGATAGTCACAGAGCTATAGAAGGTTTGCTTCATTAGCTGTGCAGAAACCAGCAGGGATGCTGCTGGCAGTGCGTACTAGCCGAGCCAAGCACCGCTGTGAGTGTAGTCTGTAAGCAAGAGATGGGTGTTTTACCCAATTTTCTGAGGACCGTTTGATGTCCTGTGTTACTTTTGCATTGATCATGTGATGGTCACTTATCTGAGCTCATATCCGTAATTTGGTATAATCATTAAATTTGTGCTTTCCTTGATACGCATTTAACAGACAAATAAAAAAAACTGAGATATCATATATTCATCACTGTTTCACTACAGGCCAATAGTTTATAAATAAGCGTCTAAAGAATGAAAAAAAAACCTAATTTAGCTATACAGAAACTTGATTTGAAAACAAACAACTGCAATGAGATGTTTAATTAAAAAAATAAGCTGAGGGAGTCAACATAGGTATATTTGAAATTTCTGTGTTGAGACAGAAAACCATTTACACTCCTTACAACCTACAGGCTTTAAAATCATCGGTTAACCTGACACAAAAAAACCGGAAGCCTAGACTCTTTTCATTTATCTAGAAACGGCCAACGGAAACCTTTCAGCTGTGAGGAAATAACGCCAACGAGGCTGGTTTTATGATAAAGAAATGCTGTGATCTGGACTTAAAAGAAAGTGTAACCATATCATTCCTATTCACTGTAGCTAACACCTTGTGCACCGTAATAGTTATTGTACCTAAGGGAAGTGAAAAAAATCATTAATTATGTTCAGACATTTACCCTCTGGCTACTTTTAATATATGAATGTGGAAAAGGTCAGGATGCAATTCAGAAATGAAATCACTGACACAGTAATTTTGTGAATGTTGATGCTTCAAGCACTTATGGCAGATTGATACAAAAATAATAAATTTACTAAAAGTCTTTAGACTCAGAAAAATTAGTAAAAAAAAAAAAAAGTAAGTATCTAAATTTGAGGGACTGTGAAGATGTGAAACTATATATTAACAACAAGAAAGATTTAATGAACAAGGCGTGTGATATTAGAGACTAAAAGTTTTAGGTTGGAAAATTTGTTTCAAATTGCCTGACATTCCAGACTGACATTTCTGCTGAATTTAATAACACAAACTCCAAACCGACAGTGTAACAACTTTAAGTATCTGTTTACTGGGACATGATTGGCACTGACAATAAGTAGAGCAGAATGTATACCGTCATTATATTGAAGGTATTCACATGCAAATTAGAGAAAGTGTTGAGAAAATCCAGCTGTTACCCAAAGGGGCTCAAATCTAACTTGACCAATTACAACAGACAACAAATACAGGAGTATTTGTAATTATGCTGCTGAGAATATTTTGCGATGGATGACTGTCTAACTGTGTGGGAGCAGGGGTACCAATCAACAATATATATTTTTTTCTTTGTTGGTATTTGACAGACTTTCTCTACTGATGTATTCAGTTATTATTTGTAAGTCTGTTTGGCTATAGGAATAATAAAGATTAGAATGAAAGCAAGCTATTCACTCAAGCAATGTTAAATATTTAACTTTGATTTTGAAAACTGTCTGATTTAATGGGGAGTCAAACATTTTTGACTAGTCTTGCATGTCTTATTTAGCCGATTCTGAGCAGTAATGGCTTGTCCCTCTACACGTGTCTTACGTCAACAGGCTCTTGCTTAACATATAGAATAAGCTTCAAACAATGAGGCATCCAAACAACAACTTTTCATTTTACTTTTGATGGACATTTACTGAAGTTTCATGTCTAGTTTAGCTTTTATTTTTGTTTAAAAGCACTCTTGCTGCAGAGCTCATCAGCACATTTTTCTCCAAAATGTTTCATTGATCTAGTGTCTTTATGAAAAGTGTGTTTTTTTATCTTGTTGTTTTTTCATAAGTTGTATTTCCAAATACCTCTTAACAGACTTTGTGTAAATATCCAAAAATGAAATCAAAGAATCACCTTATTATGCTCATATACATGTTATATGGTTGACCTTAAAACTATCAGGATGAATAATTTACTGAAAAGCCTGAATGGCCAATAAACAGCTGATGGGTTTTGTAATTGGATACATATATTGTTAAAAGATAAATTTAGCTTCAATTGCTATTTTCTGGTGATTTTTTTCTTCTTTTAAATAAAAATAATATTAAAAAGATTTTACAGGAGACTGTTTACATATAGTTTAGTTCAGCACCTAAAGCACCTGAAGGTTAGAAATAATAAAATGCTACTTGTTTGCATTTCAACAAACATTCAAAAGCCTTTTGGGGTTTTCTTATAAATTTAATTGCTGGTCTGTGGTACTTGCTACAATTTTTTTTTCTTTTTCTTTACATTTACTTGCAAATGTGAAGTAAATCAATTTCTCCACCTACTTGAATTGAAACGTCACTGTAGGATCCTCCAATAACTCCAGAAATAGCCAGTGGAACGTTATTTTCGATGGGTCTGGAGCCGTCAGGGCAGATGAAGCCAGGATCATCCACCTTATCGAGGGACGACCTGACAAAATCCAAGGCTTGCTCCAGACCGTAGGTGTCTTTGGAGCAGGTGTCCAGGATGTTGCTGCCCAGCCGGAGCCCGGGAAGGATGCGATCATCTGAGTTAATCTCATCGAGGGCAAAAAGCATGGCTTCCAGTCTCTGGATGCCCCGCTCCTCGTTGATTTTCCCACAGTCCTCTGTCCCTTCACCTTTCTCATGCACAGGGAACAAGCCCCCAATCACAATGTCCCCTTCTATGACGACCTCACGTTTACCTGGATGCGGTACTCTGATGATTGGTAGGGCCCCGGGTATCAGAACCTCCAGCAGGAACAGTTGAAAGGGCCAATGAAGGGCAAAACTAACCTTCCAGTTGGTGCAGAGCACTGCATGCAGCATGGTAGGATCAGGTTGCAGGGTTGAGCTGGTCAAAGAAGAGATTGGTGAATGTTCACGAGGACCGAAGGCAGACTACTGTTAAATCTTCCGAGCACAGCATTTCTGGTGTTTTCTGAAAGTATGAGGGAGAAGCAATCACAAAAAATGAATAGATTAACTTCTTTACAAGAACAGAAAAGCCTTGATGAAGACGATTTGAAGCACATAATTTAACAGTACATGAGAACCAGCTGGAGGTCAGCCCGCTTAAGACCATGGAGGTGATGCTGATCCTCACATTCTCTTCCCTCACCATCTTTAAACACTGTTTATTGTTGATCACTGCCAATTCTTTGGACTCACTCCATCTTAGTACCTGAAATGGTCCTCACACATAAACACTGATCACAAGAAGCCCCAGCAGAGACTCTGGGAATTGTAAGAATTTAGCGACCCATTATTGATATGATTTATCAAATTGATTCTTGAGAATAGGGACAAAATGGGTTTTAATTTTCCCATATTTTTTTATTATTTCTCAACCTTATGTATGCAATGTTTAGGAAATGTAAAGATGCTAAGGTGCAAGCTCCCAGTTGCAACATTTTCTTAAAAATTTACTTTTTAATCGACCTGACCCAGAACTTCGTCATCACCATCTGACAAAAATAAATATAATTTATTTTAAAATACCCTATTAGTGATATTTTACTTGTTTTTACAGACAAATGCTTCTCAAGAAACAAAATTAATTTTATTTAAAACAAAAAACAAAAAGTCCATCTGACGGAGTTGACACAGAACTGAAGGTGGTGACAAACTAGTGAGTAAAAAGAAAAACTTGATACATGTGAAGTAATGCAATTTATGTAAAATAATTTAAAATGAATTAATTGCACAATTAAGTGGGATTTGACAACAATTTCACTGAAAGAGTCACAAAAACTCTGGATGAGTTGACAAAAAGCCAAACTACCTCAATTTATATGTTGTTATTCTGAAGGAGGCCATATTGTAGCTCATCATGTCCATGAAATCTATACAGTATACC